TAATCACCACAAAGCTAACTGCTCTCATAACAAAAATTCTGACTCAGGTTTGTTTATTTGGTTTTTTTTGAGGCAGGGTCTCCCTATGTAGTTCAGGCTGGCCTCAAATGCATGGCAATCCTCCTGCCTCAGCCTTCCAAGTGCTGGGATCACAGGTATGTGTCACTACACCCAGCCCTGACTCAGGTTCTTAACTGAAAAATTACTTAAAGGACCAGACACAGAATCTGCTGAACTCATTAAACTTTTTCCTCTCAATTGACTTCCTATGGCATCTCTATCTTCACTCTAAGGTGAATTATGAGAATGTGAATATCCTTATTGCTTTATATTTTATTTGAACATGCTGAAATATTTTTCCCAGTTAATATTCTTTTTGCTAAATTTACCATGTTTTCATATTGTGATACCTTGTAAGTACTGTTCTTTCTAGCTGAATCTTTCCATAAATATGAAAAATAAAAGAACACTGTTTTAATTCTAAAATCCTCAAACTATCATAATCCTCACTTTATAGTTAAGACCACCAAGCACAGAGTAATTAAGAAACTTGTCGACATTCACAAAACTATTAAGAGTTGAGATTCTAAAATCCTGAGTTCCAACTCTAGAGCCAGGGTTTCACTCTTTTTTTGCCCTACACCTTTTGAAAGTCTAATGACACTTGTGGATTTCCTTTCAGCCTAACATTTTAAAATGCATAAGAAAATACCTATGATTGCAAAACACAACTAATATATTAGAAGAAAAAAAATGCAATGTGTGATATAGTAATATGCATACTTCTTAAAAAGTAGTGATGGATCTCATATTCACTGTGATGTAATGATGAATATCATTTATTTTTCCTGCACTGGAGATTGAACCTAGGGCCTTGCACATGCTAGGCAAGTGTTCTACCACTGAGCTACATCCCCAGCTGAGATATCTATAATAACCATTAATTTAAAATAGCTGTGATTTGTACCGGTACTAAAATCACAGGTGCTGTTATTACTACTGTAGTTCATTGCTGACAGTAATTAAAAGAAATGCTAACTTCTAGCTAGAGGTTTCCAAAGAGACAATTTTCCCCCTAAATTCATGGATATCATCCATGTTAAGAGCATTACACTGCACACACACAATCCTCTTTAACAGTGGAGTTTCAAAGGACCAATCCTTGGTCCATTTCTCTTTCTACACTGGATCCCTTAGTCATCTCATCCAATCTCATGGCTTTGAATAATACCTAAGGAGATGACCACAAAATTTATATCCAGTCCGACCTTTCCCCTGAACTCCAGACTTATATATCAATTCAAACCAAACAGCTAACAAGCACCTCAAACTTACCATGTTTAATACTTAATTACTAATCTAGTTCCTAGACTTGCTCTTTCCACAATCTTAGCAGATTGCAAATTTCTAACAGCTCATACAAAAAACCTTGGAATCACCTTCTCAGACATATCTGATCTATCCACAAACCATATTAGTTTGGTCTTCAAACTATATCTAGAACCCGTCCACTTCTCACCACTCTTACTACCTTGGAAAAAGCCACCAGCATATCTCTTCTTGAGTACTAGGTTCCTTACAAATCTCCAAGCTTTCTACATCATTCCTCTCTGCAATATGAATGATCCTTCTAAAGCTGAAAGCAGTCCTGTCATTCTTCTGTTTAAAACTCCCACCACCCAGGCACAGTGCCTACATATCCAGCTACTCAGGAGGCTGAGGCAGGAAAACCACTTGAGCCTAGGAACTCAAGGCTAGCCTGGCACCATAGGAAGAAACCATCTCAAAAAGCAAACCACCAAAAAAACTTTCCAACCAAGTCTTTATAATGGCTGTACAAGGCCCTATGAAATCTGCACCTTAACCCATCATGACCCCATTTACTGTCACTCTTTCTGGATCATTCCACCCTAGCCTACTGGGCAGAATTTACAGGTCTGTCTCAGCACCTTCAGACCATACTCTTGCTTAAAGTGCTTTCTTCCCAAATATAAACATAGCTACTGCCCCTTTAAGTTTTGCCTAAATACTTCTCTCTCAGGGAGGCTCACCCTGCTGAGGATGTAGTTCAATAGCAGAGCGCTTGCCTAGCATGCTGAGGCCTGAGTTCAACCCCCAGCACTATTGAGGGGAAAAAAAAAAATCAAGGAGACTGTCAATACTGCAATCTCTTCCTCAACAGTTCTGAATCCCATTTACCCAGGTCCATTTTCCAAGGCACATATCTTCAAACACTCTATATAATTTACTGTTTATCACCCCTCATTAGGATGTAAACTGCATAAGGATAAAATTTTGCTTTGTATTCCAATCATCCCTAGAGTGCCTACCTTTAGTACAGACAGGCATAATTCACAAAGCAGCACTTCTATCACCATAAAGTATCTGCCTCCTCTCTTATTACCGTAGGAAAGGTCTTTGAAGACTGTATCTAATCTGCCATGTCCTCAACACCTGTCTCTGCTCTAAAATGAACACCTAATGCAGATACTCAAGTGATTCCATTCATTTTCACCTGAAACACCAATGTGCTCTAGGCTGCAGGAAGGCCTGAAGTTACAGCTGTATCTGATTAAGAGTGAGTAGAAGACAGTATGAAGCCTAAACTGGAACTTCAAACTGAATTTACATTTTCACCTCAATCTCTTTACATCTCCAAGAACCACTTCAAACTATCCTAAGGAGAACTTGGTTATTCCCAATCACATTGCACCCTACCTCACCCCTGCTTAAACCCACCTAATTTTTTAAATATTCAACTTAAATCCTCTTGCTTTTCCCAGATGACCCTAACAAGAAGCAGCTGTCATCACATTCTGTGCGAGGTGCTTTTCATTCATTATCATTCAATCTTCCCAAAAGCCCAAGTTACCACCATTAGGATAACTATTTCAGAGATGAGAAAATGTCAGAGAGATGAAGTCACCTGTCCAAGGTCAAACTAGCGTTCAAATCTTGGTATCTGGCTCTGAAATCCAAGTACTTTAACCAAGTACTATGCTTCCTTTCTCTCTCCAGCATTATGAACATTAGCTTTTATACACTTCCTCATAGGGCTTGCTGTCACGCTTCTCATTTTGTTGGCTAGGCTTCATTTTCTTCATCTGTAAAACAGGTGGTAGTGTTGAGAATGCCTACCAAAATCTCCACTCCTCAGACTATTGTAAAAGAAAACATAATATTTTAAAGAACCTGTACAGATTAACAAACAGGAATAAAAAATACAGAACTTAAATCACTATTAGAAATTCAAACAATTAGACCAGAAAAGCAGTAAAAATACTCCAAGATCTTGGGTAAAATAATAAAAATTCTTGGTTTCTTCCCCTGCATCCACCAAAGATGCACTTCTGAATCCATTTTCACACATATTATGTAACCTTACCCCCCAAAAAGTGAAAGGATATGATCCTTAAAGCTTCTAGACTTCACCAAACAACATAGTTAAAGGAACTGAAAGCACACACTTTGCCCATTCAGGGACTACCATGTTACCCTGTACAGTACAAGCACTCAATCAGCGTTTACTGAATCATGATACAGATTTTTTTTTTTTTGAGGTTTTTCAAGTCCTCACACCAAAAACCTGTAACATGAGCTTTGTAATTGGACTGACTGTTCAGTAAATCAAAACAATCTAATTAAATTGTTAACCTACGACCAAGAATCCAAGATAAAAGCACGTTAATTTACTATTCCAATTTAGTTGAATTTTGTTCTAAAAAGGCAACACAATTTCTTTTTGTGCAGAAAAGACTAACACCCCAAGAGAATCCTTTCGTGTTGCAATTAAATCTAAGCACTAACAAAAAAAAATTATCAAGATCCAGACATTTCTGGGCCAAGGTGAGAAGACTTAGCAATGGGTCAAGAAGTTGCCACAGCAAACCCAAGGTAAAATGTGTCAAAGGGCAAAGTTCTTGGATCACTGTGGCCCTGAAAGCTCGACAGTTTCACGTGAAACCCCCATTAATGTTCACTTCAAAATGAATCGTATAATCACATTCTTGGGAGTAGACTTCAATGTCAGCAATGGAGTTGAAGAATGCCTTTTCAAAACAATGGTGTTGTGCGGGGTTACGGAAAGAACTGACTTCATGGCCTGGAGTGAAAGCTTTCTGGACTATCGAATCTGTATTGGACACAGCAGATACAGCCCTCAACAGAAATGCAAAGAAGTCCTAGACTAAAAAACCATTATTGAGCGAAACTGTTATTTCTGTTTAGTAGAAAATGTCTTCTTTACACAGAAACCTCAAATGAGTCTGGGCTTTTCACTAAGTCTACACAAGGAGTAAAAGTCAACCATTTAGGTAAAAGGTTCCTGTTACCAGGGAAAGCGTGTCTGAAAGTGTGCAAACCCCATAATCTGCAAGAAAATGTATGCAGCTTTCGCTTTCGGGTGAAAAAATAAAGCCGATGTCATCTCAACAACAGGGCCACACAAACCTCGCCACCATTACAGAATCAGGTGCCAAAGGTGCAAAATGTGAAGCCAGAAGCGTTCCAAGGCTGGGATAGCGTTCCAGGAGTTTAAAAAAGAAAAAATCTAGCCCGAGTCTGCAGCGCGGGCCCCTCCGCGGCCCCGGGCCGGGCGACGCGAGCTGGGCCCTTCCGGTCGCTGCCGCCGTCGCGGGTCGGCCAGGGACGGACCTGGCTTCCACCCGAGCCCGGGGATCCTCAAGAGGCCTAGCTCGCCGGCGCCCTCTCGCCGGCCTCGGCGGCCGAAGCTCCTCCGACTTGGCCCGGGACCCGCTCGGGTTCCGGCCGCGGCGCGGGGAGCCCCGGGGAGCCGCGGGGACCCCCGGGCGGTGCCCGGCCCAGCCTACCCGGCCCGAGCCGACGCGGCGGCGACGGAGGCCGCGCCGCCCCTCCCCCACCGCCGGCCCAACCGCCGCCGCGACGCCGCCCGCCGGGCCAGGCCTCTCCCGCACCGCGCAACCCGCTACCCCTCGCGCCCGGACGCGCCGCCCTCAGGAGGCCGCGCCGCCGACACTTACTCGGGGGTCGGGTGCTCGGGGTCGTAGAAATCCCCCATCTTCGGAGGCGGCTGCTGTGGCGGCAGCTGCTTCATCGGAAGCGGCTGAGGGGCGGCGACGCGAGCCCCGTCCCCGCGGCTGGGCGACGCGGGGGAGGGGCGGGAGGGCGGGGGAGGCCGCGGGTCGGCCCGCGTCGCTGGCTCTCTCGCTCCCTCCCTCCCGCCGGCGCCCGCCCGCCGCCGCCGCCGCTCTCCTCACACACTCGCCCCGGCAGCGACGCGCACCCCGCCCGCCCCGCAGGCCCCGCCCCTTAAAGGGACCGCACCTCTCGCCCGTCAGCTTGCCTGCTTCTGCGGGCGGGGGCGCGGTGCAGTTCCAGGGTCCGGCCGGGCCCTGACAGAGGCTTCCCGGAACAATAAGCTCCACGCCTCAGTGTTGTAGGCCGGCCCTAGAGCTGAGGGGCGCGCTGCGACCCCTCCCTTAGCTACCTCCCGGGAGGGCCCGAGCTAGCTGGGACGCCCGCCGCGCTGCCCTACGGCCCTGAGGGATCCGCCACGGGGTCTGAGGTGACTCGAATGCCGCGCCTGCCGCGCCTGCCACGGCCCGCCCGGCGCTGTGGGGCTGCTCCCCTCTCGCCCTCCTGCCTCTTCATCTCGCAGCCTCGACGAAGCAAGCGTGGAAACGCAGCCAGGGCGGGAACGCGCCCTGAGCCCCGGCTCCCCCTCCAGTCCCGCCGGCCACCTCGAGACGGGTCCGCGCCACCTCCTGCCTTCCATCTCTGCGCGGCGGGCGGCCACCACCCGGAGTCTCCGAGCCACCTCTGCTTCTGCGTATCCTGAGGCTTGGGAGGCAAGGTCCTGCGGGGGGGGGGGGGGGGAACGTGACCAAATATTAATCATTTTCCTGCAGAAATGACAAGGTCAGATGAAGTAGGATAACGTGAAGGGGCTGCAAGTTTTTGTTGTTTGTGGAAGAGGAATAAGAATACATAAATCTGTTACCCAAACTTCCAGGACATTGGAGAATTTAGCAGTTGATCACTTTGAAGGTGGTGGTTTATAGGGTCAGTCCTTTGAAGATTTTTGGGGGGGAGGGACTTTGTTTTTGTTTGCAGTCCTGAGGATTGAACTCAAGGCTTTGGAACTGAGGTACTTTCTCATACCTATGGGGAGAGGGGGGTTGCGCGGTCTCCCTAAGTCTCTAAAATTGCCTAGGCTGAGCTTGAACTCGTGACCCTCCTGCCTCAAATTCCCAGAGTATTGGGATTACAGGACTCCGCCACTACGCCCAGTTGGCTGCTAATTTTAATTTAGGATTTTTTTACTAGTAAACAAGTTGGATGGCGCCATGTGGTGTAATTACTGAAATGCGATCTAAGCGAATAGATATCCTTCATTAGCTTTTTTAAAATGTGTTCTTAACATCTGTGTAGACTAGCCATGTCTATTAGTGTTTTATCATCAGTGTTTCTCACTTAGGGAGCATGGAGTTCCAGAGTCATCACATTCCCCCTAGGTTTGTCTCCCATGGCCATTTCTTTATGGACTATGAATGTTACTAATTTCTCTGTAGTTTTTCTCAATGTAAATGAGAATATTGATGTGGACTGGTCCTCTCACTGTTGTGAGGATTAAATGAGATAATATAAAGCCCTAAACCAACAAATATTAACACTTTTTCAGTCATAGTGCAGTGGTTAACAACTTTGTATATAGCAGCTATGGAGCATGGTTACTTCTCATGCTTCCAGTGCCTCCCCTGCCAAATGGAGGTATTATCCACTGAGCAGAGGATGCTATGGACATGCTTTGCACAGTACCTCTGAGTAAGCACCCAGCGAGTGTTATCTTTCAGGCTTAGGTTAAGCCCCTATGCCTTAGGTGCCACATAGACCAGGGGGAGCCACCTGACATTGGACAGGCAGGAAGGACTACCTGAGTTGGAAGTGGCTGAAACAATGTAAGTATGAAGTGAGAAGGCCCTAAGCTAAGGTGAATTGAGGAAAAAGAATAGTCAGGTACCAGTTTCCTATTTCCTTAATAACAAACTAAGCAGCACTCTTGCAAGAGATGCGGCTGAGCTGTAATTCCTAGGCTCATGATAGCATTCGCCTGGTCAGAACCCAGTGCAGTAACCATGTCAAACCGTGGGGGTGAGTGGGAAATTCTAGCGCCCAAACATAAATCCTGTGATCTGAGTTTTTATAGGCAGTATCTTTATCTTTTATTATACTGGGGAACCTTTGTACTTGTATTTTTGAGTCAAAGAAAACACATTACCTGGAACACATGGTTGAATCTGGTCTCCCAGTGAAGGCTGTGGAATAATTTCGCTTTTAGCATTGTTAGATACTGTCTCCTGCTTGCTTACATAAAGCCATCTGCAAATGTGGTTAAAGGAAAAATGTCCAAAAGCCCAAACATGAAATATAAGAGTCATTCAATTCCTGGAGTGTTAAAAACCATACAAACCAGGCCAGGTGTGATGGTGCATGCTTATAATCTAGCACTTGGAAGACTGAGGCAGGAGGATCACCATGAGTTTGAGCCCAGCCTGGACTGCATAGTGAGTTCATGGCCAGCCTAAACTACATAGCGAGATCCTGTCTCAAAAAACAAACATACAAACCATTAGAATCGTTCCTGCTATTAATGTCTCTTGTGTGCCCAGGGGACCCAGGGTGGCCGGTAGTGACAGTGAAAGTCAACGTGAGCATTTTATGTCTTAGGGGAGACAGAAGAAGGCCAAATATTAATCATTCCCCCAAGTAGGTTCTAGTGCATAGTAAAGGGATGGGAGAAAAAGTCTTTTTTTGGGTTGGTTTTTTTTTTTTGGTACCGGGGATCCAGCTTGGGTCCTTGTGCATGCGAGGCAGGCTGTGGAACCACTGAGCTAAATCTCCGGCCCCGAGAAAAAGTAGTTTTAAAAAAAGGAGAAGGAGAAGAAATATAGTAAGGACAGGGGACCGCAAGTTCATCCCCTGAGCACATGTTCCAGAATTACTATTGGTAAACAAATTTTTGAGGTAATATGTTAACTAGACAATTCTTAGAACTGAAAGAATCCAAAGGCAATTAAGTGAGGTACCTTGAAGTGACACTGAGCGGCACTTTTTTTCCATATGCTGAGGACAAAGTTCTGTTGACTCATGAGGAAAGAGGGAAAAGGTCATTCGCTCCCCCTGGAGTCCACAGCTGGTGAGCTGAGTGAGAATACCACCCCTACCCGCTTACTCTTGCCTTTTTCAAGCCTCCTCCCCGCTCCACATCATTCCCCTAAATGATGATTGTAAAGGACTGGTGGAGCAGCTCACACAATGCCAACTTTGGTGAGATAGGCAAGAGGGCAAGACGCAGGCCTGCAGTCCAGGGCTTGCCTTGCAGTCACAAGGCCCTGGGGTCAGCATGGCAGCACGGGAAACCATACTTGTACATGTCTTCACACAGATGCTTTCATCTTGGCAGAGTCCCGGCGTTTCCAGGAGCCATAGTCTGTGGTTTGAATTGGTTCCTGGTGTATGAAAGGTTGATTTTAGTAAAGAGAGGCATTTTGGAAATCCACATGAACAGTGTACCCAGGAGGCGTTTGTATCAAGGTCAAATGTTTGGAAGTTGAGGTTTGCCAGTATAAGGCTTTATGAAGATCACAACAGTTTTTGACCAATTTCCTTGATTGTTTAAGTCCTATTTCCTCGGTCTGTTCCTTGCTGTAAATGATCCTAGTTTGTTCTTGACTCTTCCCCCCAATTTATTTTTTTATAGATGAATGGTCTTATGTTTCATATTCCAAAATGTACTTTTCTTTATATGGTCTATGAGAGATCAATTTGGAAGTTACTAAAGGTGTATATTAAGCATAGAATTATGAATACAAATATATCCATCCTAGCATTAAAATGAAACCTGAAAAAAAAAAATAAAATGAAACATGAGCCAGGTGTGATGGCACATGCCTATAATCCTAGCACTCTGAGAGGCTGAGGCAGGAGGATCACAAATTGATCCCAGCCTGAGCAATTTAGTGATTGGCAAGACTGTCTCAAAATAGAAAATAAACCAGGCATGGTGGCATATACCTGTGATCCTAGCACTCTGAGAAGCTAAGACAAAAGAATTACAAATTCAAGCCTAGTCTGGGCAATTTAGCAACTCAGTAACTTAGAACCTGTCTCAAAAAATTTAAAAAGGTCTGGGGATATAGCTCGGTGTGAAGACCCTGGGTTTAATCCCCAATACCACAAAATTTTTTTTTTTTGGTACCGGGGATCAAACTCGGTTCCTTGCGCTTGTGCAGCAGGCAGCAAAACCACTGAGCTAAATCCCCCGCCCCCTTGGTTTTGTTTTTTGAGACAGGGTCTTGTTATGTAGTTTAGACTGGTCTTGAATTTGCAATGTAGCCCAGGATGGTCTCACACTTACAGTGATTCTCCTGCCTCAGCCTCTGGAGTGCTGGGATTACAGGCACGCGCCAGCACACCTGGCCTAAAATGATTTTTCTTAACACCTTGATATTTCTTCAGCCAGGCAGTTGAGGCCCCTACTCCTGCACCTGTCCTCACTTTTGTAAGTCTAACTGCTTTCCACATCCTTCTTGATGTGAATTTTACACTCTTCCACTTCTCTCACAGCCGTTACCCACCCTCTTTTCTCATGTAAGAACCCTGCGGCTCTTTGCTGACCAAGGTCAAGGCACCACTTATCCTCAAGGGCAAATGTGCTCACAGCTTCTACATCAGTCAGGGCTGGAATGAATTGAATCACCCTTGGTCACTGTTCCAAATCGCTAAGTACTGTGCCAGTCTTCCTTGCCATGTGAAAAAAATTGGTTTCTTGGGATTTCACTGTTTTATGTCCTAGGGGCCTCTCTGGGGGCAGCCAAATGAAAGAATAAGTACCCCACCATTAGGCCCTGGCCCTGTTTGATTGGATTTGCCTGGCTGGGCACACCTGCACAAGAGTGTTCAGATGAAATGTGCATTTTTGTTGCATGAGCCTAATTTAAAACTGTCCCAAGGGGACATTTTCTGAAGTTGCTGGGAAATTTGCAATCTCAGGTTGAGACTTAAAATGAGTAAATTTCAGCATTGACTGAATTTTTGATGCAGAAAGTCATAAAACCTTGGAAAATTGGGCCACAAAAAGAAAGGGTGATAGACCATTAACTCTGGTGGGTAGTGTGTGTTACTGTCATTGCAACGCCTAAAAATTGTGTTAGGGTAAATTAAAT